TTTTTTTCTATAACCTTTTTGGATCCTATGTTATCAGCAGAACAGGTGACGAGCACACGCTTTATCCCACGATCAAAACACCATGTGCAAGCTTTGCGTAGCATCTCCGTCGCATATCCTTGCTTTCTGTAGGCATGCCTTACCGAATAGCCAACATGTCCTCCAAAACGCTCTAAATTTTTATTAAGCCTATGGCGAATATCGATCATACCAATTAGCTCATCATGACCGCTATCCTCATCAAAAACTAAAAAAACCGTTGAAGGAACAAGGCCGTCTTGGACGGTTTTATCATCACGATTTTGTATCGCCGCTTCAAGCCACACATCAAACGTTTTTTCACACAACCCCGCTGTACCGTCGGCAGATTCATTTCTCTCCAGAAAAACCTGGCGAAAGTCCTCTATCGCACTCCTAAAGTCACGTGAAGGCAGAACAAACCGTAATTTCACGCTACACGACCTCCCCAGCCCTTCGGTAATCGAAAACACAATGATAGGGCTTTATACTCCTACACGTAGCTGCTGTCAAGATTGTTAGGCATGTCAATCATAACGTCTTGCGCCGCAAGACTCTCTTCAGTATGAGTTACGCATATGCAGCAAAAAAGCGACGTTTTCAATTCTTCTCTGACAAGCTCATAGCAATATCGCTTGCTGTTGGCATCCATGGAAGAAAACGCTTCATCGAGCAAAAGTATCGGCCGCCGTTGTGCCAGGACAAGCAAAAACATGATCTTCTGCTTCTGTCCAGCACTAAGCGAGGTTCCCTTCAAAATTTGATTCTTTTTAATCGACGTGTTAAACCTCTCAAGCAAATCGGCGTCGAAGAGCTGGGGACTTTTTTCTTGTAGCCACAACGCATCGCATTCCAGTTCTTCGATGAGTGATTGCAAGGGAAGCTCGGGAATCTCCATGTCAGTAAAGACGGATGCAACGTTGCTTTTTTTATCATGCTCTCCAACATATTTATGAACATAGCCCGACGTTGCATGAAGAATGCCTGCTATAAGGAGTAAAAGTGTCGTTTTACCCGTTCCGTTTCCACCCCGCAAAAATGTTATGCCGCCTTTGGTAGCCGTTACACTAAAGTTGTTGATGATATTGGTTTCAGTTCCCTTATATCTAAAAGACACCTGATCAAGAAGAATTGCTTTATCTACTGCTTTAAAGATCGTGCTGTCCTTTTCTGTCTTAGCAAACTCGCGATCATCGGGTAAAGAAAGTACCATGTTGAATCGCAAAATTGAACTGCGAATTGCCTGTGCCTCCTGTATGTTGGACACTACGATGTAACACGGATTAACAATTTCTCCTAGAAGCGCCACGGTGGTAACGATCACGCCAATGCTGAAGGTTCCCTTCACAACTTCAGGACCTTCGATGAGAAAAATAAGACCAACGCTTGCCCCATAGACAGCATTGGCAACGGCCTGAAGACTCATGTAACGCTGCCGTTTTAACTCAAGAAAAAGATTTTTTGCTTCAAGTGCATCTTCATACTTCTTGTAGAGACGCGCAATACCTAACAATCGAATATTTTTGCATTGAGAAATCTGCTGCTGATAGTTTTTCAAACAGGCGTCCCATGTTTTTTGCACACAGGCAGAGGTGATCTCCATCTTTTTACTGAAAGCATGCACGCTAACGATCGAACAAATCAACACTGCGATCCCTAACGCACAGACCAAAAGACCGTGGGTGTACAGCAAAAAAAGCACAACAACGAGTTCAATAACATTAATTACTACATCGACAATCATCGTAGAGAGCCTTGAAATTTTGGGAATATCGCTTTCAAGCAAAGCCAAAATGTTTAATGTCTCACCCGTCCGATATACCTCCTGGTAGTCCGACACTCGTATCTTCTCTAACACAACATGCCTAAGATGAAACCCTACCTTTTTCTGTAATTTTTTTCGGGACATATTATGAAAGTAGGCAATCAAAAAATAAAACAAGCCCAGCACAACAAAAGTGCAGGCTATCTTGAGAAGATCATGAAAAGTAAGGGCGGATGTAAGCACGTCGATACTATATCCTCTCAGATATGCCAAAACGAGCATAGAAAAATAGAAGAGCACCGCAACAAACGCAACACCGCCTACCTGAGGCGCAAAAACCCTTAAAGACGCCAGTACATGTCTGTAGATTGATTTCTGCATGATATACTCCTTTATCAGAAGCAGCATGGTGGGTCAAATTTTTGACCCTACCGTTACTGTTCAGATAGATGTAACACAAGCGCCTCATGTAATCAAATATTGAAATAAATTACTTTGTCTACATCAATAAATGAAAAACTATATGAAAAATGAAGTGTTTTTAGAAACCTTTGCTCGACGAGTTGTATGCAATATTTATCGCGCATCAGGTGCCTGAGCACCTGAACGCACTGAAAAAGAAGTAAATCTCTGCGAAGTAGCAAATACAGTCAGCACTGTCAGAAAAACGCATCAGCTAGCACTGCCAGCTTCCCATCTAAAATTCTTGATCCCAAGCACTAAGCACGGCACTATGAGCGCGCACGCATGAATGTGAAAATAACACCACCTTTACCGATAGCAGTTAAAAATAACATCACCTTTACCGGTAGTAGCTAAATCTTGATATAGGTTCGCGTTTACCTGGGTGAGCGGCAACGCGAGCACTGTTTTCTGCATTATCGCCGGCATTCACTCTATGGGAAGAACAGAGCCGCCCAAAAGCATCATAACGGTAAATCATGTAAGCCTTCTTGATGTTTGAAATCCTATAGGCGCTTTAATACGTTAGTTTCTCTGCTAATACCAATAGTAATTGCCCCTCCCATGTTCTTTATTTCCGTTTATCATAGCGTCGTAGAAATCTTTGCCTACAAACTCAATATCGTCTTCGTGAGTTACCACGACAATAGTTCTGTTTTTAGCTTTAATTCCATTAAGAAAATTGCCGAGTACTTTTTCATGTCGTAATCAAAATCGCTAAACGGTTCATCAGGAATCACGACCTCGCTATTACTGAGCCGTGACCTTGTTGTAAGGATTCTGTTCTTTTCACCCATAGATAAAGCGCTACATCTCTTGTCGTTGAGTTCGTCAATTTTAAATCGCTCAATTATTTCCCAGTAATCACCTTGGTACTCATTAACCTTTTTAAAAGGCGTATACACGCGCAAACTTTCAAATTTTAAGCAACGACGTAGGGGAAAATACACCAAAATATGACGAAAGATATCGCCATGCTTAACAAGAGCCCATCCTTATCAGAAACTGCCTTTATGTCTCCTTTATCAACGTTCACTATTCCTAAAATGCACTGCAGAAGAGTTGTCTTCCTGCATCCGTTGTCACCACATAGTCTGTATGCATGTCCTTTTGTGATGGAAAGCTTCACCTCACGTAACACGCACTTTTTGTTGATATATTTATCCGCATTCGTAACTTCGATTAGCTTCATGCGACATCCTTTACACATCAAAACTTTATGTAATAAACCTCAACGTACCGAAATTTCTCGTGCTAAAACGAATACTCATGAGCGAACAGCGCTCATTTTATCTATAAATTTGAAGTATGTGCCTTAGCGTTTCTTCAAAGTTTGCAGGTATTCTTTCGTTTCTTTGGTGAGTCTATAGCTCTCCCTTGCCTTTTGAATTGACCTGTTGTGCACCCATTTGTTGAGTATAGAATTTTCAAAAATTTTGATAGTTTCATCGTATTGTTTTGCGAGTGCCGTACTGTAATACCAGGCCAATGCCATATTTATGTAGTATTCATCGCAATTTATTTTTGACAACATAATAAGGTCGCTTCTATCAAACTCTGAATCTAAATAAAGGGTCAAAAGGGTAACTATCGCGAACCTTACCGCATAGACATACTCTAATGAAAGCCATCTTTTTATAGCATCTCGCACCTGTTCTGGCTCTCTTTTAAATATCGTCGGCCTGATAGCATCGCAGGTCGCCCAGTTATCAACGTATGGCAAAAACTTGTCCAGCTCAGCGAGCGTTTTAGTAATGCTTTCCCGATAAAGTTCCCCGAGCGCCATGCCATGGAACGTGTTCTCCTCAAGATATTCGTGTGGCAATTCATTCATAAATTCTGTTACCAAATTGCGATCCTTCGCACAAAGCTTTTGGACGAGAGCTCTAATATCTGGAGTCCTAACTCCGATGATAGATTCTCTTGAAACGGTAGGGATAAGTTTTGCATTAAAATTCGAATAGTCGAGATCCTGTAGTTCAAACAGTTTTTTCCGTATTACTTTCATAACGTCCGACTCCTGGCTGCCATAAAAACTCATCGTATCCTGGTAAAATTATATGTCGTTTTAAGATTCTACCGTACAACAGGGCGCCACTAAGCCAAGTGATATTTCCCCGCTTGAAGCATTGTTGTTGGTGCTTTAGTACCAACTCTCGCATAAAACTGAGGCGGGACTTGCCTTGCGTACTACCAGCCAGTAAACTCCTTACCATCTTCCTGGTGGGAAACTTACCACCATGTTCATGCCTATTGCTTAAACCGCTCTTCTTTCAAATGCTTTATCTTCGGGATTATGTGTGTAACGTCTCTGTCAAAACTCACCTGCACCCACGTGACATCAACACAAGATTTTTTGCAATACCATCGGCAAACCCGCCACAACGTTAGCCCCACTTTCCGGATTATCTGGCCCTCACAAGGTTTTCTGCGAAGACCAGATAATCTAGGTGGTCGCGCTAACAACTAGGTGCTCAGCGTAATCAAAAGAAGAGAAGAGACTAATGTTGAGCACCAGTCGTTTCGTCAAAATAATACCGTCTGTTACCTACGACACACCACCCTTTGTACATAGCACCATCTGGTCCGTAGTAGCATGTCTTATCTTGGTAATCAATGTATTTCCAACCGTAATATACTCCGCCCGTAACCTCATCAAAGTAGAACCAGTTAAGTTTTCCGTCAAAGCCACCATGAACCTGGTGCTGACCTTTGAGCATCGTGCCGTCTTCTGTGCTGTAGTAACACCACTTCTTTTGGTG